CGTTCAAGCCCCATGTCCCTGTGACTGGATTCTGGTTACAGAAGAAGCAGTCTCAAACCCTGGCAGTAACAATTCTTCAGGCTCACCAGACTGCCTAACGTCACAGGCTTCAACTGAGGTGTGTCCACGTCAGAAGGCAGGACGAAACTGCTTGTTTCTGCTCCCAATCACAAGGGAAAGAAATTAATGGGCAGCAGCTCTGAGATGGGACACCCACTGCCCCCTCGTGTTTGCTGTCGCATCCAATACCCAGCAGGAGCTTAAAAAACGCTGAGCTGAACCAAGCTGCCCACGCAGCTCAAGTCCAGAAGTTCTCACCCCGGTCTTTTGAGCGCACTCCCCTGAACACATATATAGTAACACTCAGAAACCCGAATGTTTATGAAGTCTCTGTGAAAACAGAAGCAGCTCTAGACGATGCCAGTTACGTTTACCATTGGGGGGGGGGGTGCTCTGATGCTACCTGAAGAGTACCTGAAACCTCATATTTAACTTTTAAAAGACATCATTTTCCATTTTTTATTTAAATAAATTTACTATTTTTACAACAACTTTAAAAGTATTTCCTGTAGAGTCAGACTCTCCCACTCTCCTAGGGGGAAGGGCCTTATTTATCCCGTGGTGTTGAGAACATGCCCTCTTACTACCAAAGGACGCTAGACATTCTTGTATTCCAAAACCCTTAGTAAAATTTTCTTCTCTTGTTAAAAAAAATTCCCTTGACAGCTAGCTAATTGGAAAACCAAGTGCTTGTTAATTTCATGAGTATACCTATTTTACAAGGATATCTTCAAGATAATTCCCTGATCCAAAATAAATATTCCAAAGGTGAGGATTCCAGACGCGATCACGGGAGTTGACAGAGATGGGCCTGATCAAATACCGAAGTTCCCTTCTGATGCTCATCAATCACATCAGCGTTGAGAGGCCCACCCCGCACACGCCCTGCCCTGTGTTTCCACCGTCCAGCTGATACTAACGCCTCTACTACCCAGAAGAATGATTTGTCTCTATTAAGCACTTACTTTGACCCAGACATTCTGCTAAATGCCTGTAGGCTTGTCTCGTTTAATCTTCCCACCAGTCTCAGAGAAAGGCAGTGTTTTCATTCCCATTTTACACCGAGAAAATTGAGGCTCAGAGAACCAGGTACTTGACCTGAATCACACAGCTCCAGTGTGGTGTTTGCAGGACGTGAAACAGTCTAGCTTGCAAATCTTACTTATTCCAGTACTTCCATGCAGTATATTAGATTACCTCTACGGAGAAAACCTTGGTATGAAATAAGTGTTTTTATTTTTGAGATTATTGGTCAGTAATCCCAATTACTTTTGCCTCATTTAGTAAACTCTTAAGTTCAGTCTCTAACCTCTTTGTGTCCCTTTCATTTTTCACCCACGTCTCTCTCTCTTTTTAAAGATTTTATTTGGTTTGCTACAGAGAGAGGAGAAGGGAGGGAGAAAGAGGACAGAAACATCAATGTGTGAGAGACACATCCGTCAGTTGCCTAGCACACCCTGTCCCCCCCCCCCCAACCAGGATCCAGGCCTACAACCCAGAAATGTGCCCTCACTGGGAATCGAACTGGAGATCCTTTGGTTTGCAGGCCAGCACTCAACCCCCTAAGCCACACCAGCCAGGGCAATTTCACCCATATTTCTCAAAACCCTAAAACTGAAAAAAAAATCTGATCAGATTAGCTGCCATTTAAAATAAAACAGTGAATCCTATGAATTCCAGAGTTTAACGCTTGCCATAAAGTGACCTCACAGAGTCACCAGTTTGTGAGCCTAGTTTTCATCATCTCAAAGCTTTAGTCTATTCAATGGCTCGTCTTCCTACCAGTCAGGACAGAGCTGGTTAAGGAAATTGCTCATCCAACAGTGTTTTGTGTTTAGATTTATTGGAGTTCAGAAAATGAGCACGTATTTGTAAACGTAATTCTTCAGCAAATGCTGGTTTCTCCATGCTTACACCTGCTTTGATTTGACATGAAGATCAGTAAATATCGCCATAAGATTCATAACACACAGGGAAATGAACTTGAACTTTGGCAGTGGTGGTGGTGGTGGTGGCGGTGGTCCCCATTAGTTTGCAAGTCCTAGAGGAGATGAAATATTTAAAGTCAACATCTTTATTAACCCCCCAAAAAGAAAGGGAAAGTTTCCAGCAATGGAAACATTGACCATATTATAAGTATGTTTTAACCCTACGTTATTTCAATAAGATTTAACTTTACAATTCCTCTTTTATTCTTTTCTTTCAATATATTACAACTTTCTAGAAGTCCACATGTGTGTGTCTATATGTATGTGTAAATATTTACATATCTACACAGATATATAAACACTATTTTCTGTTCTTGAAAACTGAGCAATTTAGAGAAAATATTTTCTTCCATTAAAAAAACAATATTTTTGAATCAAGCATTATCATTTTTATTTTTTAAAGATTTTATTTCTTTATTGTCAGAGAATGAGGAAGGGAGGGAGAGAGGAAGTGATAGATCCAGGTGCAAGACAAACATCAGTCAGCTGCCTCTCACAAGCCCCCATCTGGGGACAACCCAGGCATGTGCCTCGGCAGGGAACTGAACAGGTGACCTTTCAGTTCACAGGCTGGCCCTCAATCCACTGAGCCACACCAGCCAAGGCTATATTTATTATAATTTTAAATGTCTAAGCGTTAATCAATTGATGAGCGTTTATTAATTATTGTGCAAAGCCCTGAGGGTCCATAGTGAGAGACCTAAGACATGAAACTGTAGCCAGGGAGTCAAGATGTCCCCAGGAAAGGTCGTCATCGCAAAGCTTTCCCTGGAGGGAACAGCAGGCTGATGACATCAGTTAATTAAAGAAGATGGGAGCAAGGCGGGAAAGCCAAATTGGGGTAAGAAAGCATGAATACAGGCAAAAAAGCCTAAAGAATGAGACTGAACTATGAGATTCTAAGACAACACAATTTTCCTAAGGTGCATTGGTGCAATTTTGAACATAGCTGCTAAGAGAAAGAAAGAGAGAGAGAGAGGAAAGAAAAAGGAAGGAAGGAAGGAAGGAAGGAAGGAAGGAAGGAAGGAAGGAAGGGAGGGAGGGAGGGAGGGAGGGAGGGAGGGAGGGAGAGAGAGAGAGAGAGAGAAAGAAAGAAAGAAAGAAAGAAAGAAAGGAAGGAAGGAAGGAAGGAAGGAAGGAAGGAAGGAAGGAAGGAAGGAAGAAAGAAAGAAAGAAAGAAAGAAAGAAAGAAAGAAAGAAAGAAAGAAAGAAAGAAAGAAAGAAAGAAAGAAAGAAAGAAAGAAAGAAAGAAAGAAAGAAAGAAAGAAACCTGGAAACAAGGAAAAGCGGATTTTCCGTGTATTTTACCAGGTACTGGGTCACTTCAAAGACCTGAGTCCAGGAGGAATTCCTGGGCTGACCGGTCATGTGACTGACTGGATGACCTCGACCTCTCCACTCAACCCACCTACTTCCGACCTTCATTCAATTGTCTCCTGTTACTTTTGGCCTCTGCAACCTTCTGTTTGGCGACTGATTCCGTCATTCTTGCGGGCTTCTTCCCTCCAGTCCCTTGGGCGGCCTGCACTGCGTCACCTGTACTTGGTTCCAGGCAACGAGTCCTCCTTTTTTTTGGGGGGGGGGGCACTCTTGCCCTGCCTACCCCCGGTCTGCTAGATAGTCTGAACTAGTGGTTGAATTGAACGGAGGTGAATACAACTGTTTACCTCCACCATCTGTCTACACAAATCCACTCACGCACTCCTTCCCTTTCTTTGAAATTCTCCAACAAAAACACAGCCGCTTTAAAAATAGCGAGTGGTGGGTGATGCTAACCCGTGAAGGTGGCTCTTGACTCGGAGAGGCTGTAGAACTCCTCAGACGCGGGACGGGACTTCCGGGGATGGGCATCGACCCCCGCGCTCTGCCGAGCCCACTCCAGTCCCCCACGGCGGCGGGAGCGGGGGAGGAGGGAGCCCCCAACGACGTGACTTCATGCACTCTTCCCTGCAGCGGTCTGCAGCCAGAGGCGGGCGGGGGCGGGGAGGCGCCCTGGGTTCTTTATGGGCTTCGATTCCCAGTGTACAAACAGACTAGTTCAGCTTAAACAAAATAGCCCACACGCTTCCTTCTCTACCGGGAAGTTTCCCTCCCGGGTCCCTCTGGCGCTCCGTCTCCCTTTCTCCCTCCCCCCCCCCCCCCCCGGCCCGCAATCGTGTTTCTCATTTTCTCCCGCTCATCAGTCTTCCCAAAAGAAAGCCCTGCTACAAACACCTCTAAGACTCACGAATCTCCAAAAGCGAAGCAAACCCTGCCCGGGAAGCAGCCGAGCCCTCAGTGGGCGTGTCGCTGTGGGTGCGCCCCGGCGCGCCGGGCCCGCCCCTCCCGGTGCGCTAAGACGGCGCCCAAGTCGTGGAGTGCGCAGGCCGGGGACCGAGGTCTCAAACCTGCTCACTCTCGCGGACCGTCGGCCTCCTTCTGCGCAGTCCGGCCCGGGAGCCCCGGCCCTGTGAAAGTGCCCTCCCTGCCCAGAGCCGGAGAGCAGCAAGGGGTGTGAAGGAGGAGCCACGGGGCTCGCAACATCCTCCCGAAGGGCCAGCCCTCGCCCGTCTTCCTACCACCTTAGGGAGTTGGCACGGACAGCGGGATCACCCTCTCCGAGAAAGGCAGATGTCCCTTTAAGGTTTGCTTAGCAGCTGGTGGACTTTAGCCTAAACACGCGCCCGCGAAGCTGGCTTTATTTGTCCATGTCTCGGACACAGACTGGGAGGCTGCCAGGCGCACTTCAGACAGCGGAGGCGCGAAGGGGCGGACGGCGTGGCGCAGCGTCTGGGATGTGACAAGCGTGCAGCGGACTTAGAAGCACCGGAGATCACTCTGTCGCTTCTGGGCGCCCCGGCCGGCAGGCCAGCGACTTAGACTCGCGGCGGCGGGCGGGCCGAGTGGCCCAGCGCGCGCGCGCCTCCCGCGCCCGGTCCTGCCGCGACCCGTTCTGCGATCCAGCGCGCGTTCTCTGCGCTGCGGCCGCTCCGGCCATGGGCCCCCGGAGCCCTGCTCGCCCAGGGGTTGCTGTCGCCTGCGGCTGGCTTCTCACCGGTGAGCAACCCCGATTTACTTATCCATCTCCTGCGCCAGGGGCTCGGGCGTTGGGAGGGAGGTGAGCGGAGCTGTGGCCCAGACAGGACCCACTCTCGGGCGCTGAGGGTCGGGTCGCCGTGGCAGTGGGAGGACGGAGTTTCTGCGTCTTCTTTTGGATGGGAGTTTTGTGGTCTTTTCATAGCCCTCCACCCAACGGAGGGAGGAGGCAATGCCGAAAACTCCGCGAGGCAGAACTGACTTTTCAAATTAAAGTTGTCGTGACAGTTTGCTCGGAATTTCGGGAGTATGCTGCAGGGCTTCCCCTCCTTTCTCCCTGGAGGGAGGAAACTGGAGGGCGCCTGATTTATAGGCCAAGTTCGCACCCCCAGGTTGCCCAGGGGAGGGAAGCGCTGCGTTTTCTTGTTGTCGAGTGCTCGCACCTTTCCTGCCGCACAGCCGGGAGAGGCGGAAGGCGAGGTGGACTTGCTTCGTGTCCCTAAATGTGTTCCGCACTCGCTCCCAGGAGGAGGAGCCTTCGGCAGTTGAGGCAGGAATAGTGAACACTTGCTTTGTGAATATTTCGGGGCTGACTTCTAGAAAACGCAAAACGTAGTATTCTCATCTGTACAGATACGCATCGTTGGGGGGGGGACTTAAAGAAACACAGTGGATGTAGCCAACGTAGAAAAAGGTTGAACCCTAGTATTTTCTAAGATTTTCCGGATGATTAACCCACGGCCTGATCTTTAGCAGTCACTGATCGAGGAGGAGAAGTTGTGATGGTGGAAGACAGAAGGCAGACCGGTGCAGTTTTGTCTTTAGTGAAGTGACTAATTAATGGTTTAATTAGTGGCCGGCTTTCGCATACACCATCAGTATCCGATTTGCAGTGTCTTCACTGCTGAGGTGCTTATTAGTACTAGTTAATTTCGCATTTCACCATGAAAAACAGGGGGGATCCAGCCAGTGTGGTCTGGCTTTGATGGCCAGGCATTGCTGACATTTATGAAGATCACTTAGAAAGGGGTTATTAACAAGCAGAGCTACCCCCCCCCCACCACTGATGGAGTATGAGGAGAGTTCATTCCTGACTTTCCACCCAGACATTTTCCGCTGCTCAGGAAATGTCCAATAATCCAAACAGTGGTAAGTCCTGACCAGCCTCACGGCCGGTGAAAGGTTTAATTTATCAGCTACTGTCACCGCCCTTTACACAGCTGACCCGTGATGCTTTTTCCAGCTCACATTCTTTGGAGGTCACTTGCCTGTTTTGTTATTGTGCAAAATCTGAGTAGCTTACTACCTATTCAGATGACACCTTTCTCGTTCTACCAAGGAGGCAGGCGTTGGTCACACGAGGCTTGCATAGCCTCTAAAAGACAAGGGCAAGAAAAAACAGACGTTAAGGAGTTGCAATTTCATATATATTATTATATATGGTCTCATTATTCATACAGATATTTATATGTCTACAGATATATATATGTGTGTATATATATATATATATAGATATAGAGAGAGAGAGAGAGAGAGAGAGAGAGGTACCTTTTTTTAGGTTCACCTGCTTTATTTTTCCATGCCTAAAACTTTACGAAATTGTTGGGATAATATGCCTTGCTGAGTCCAGGGAGGGATTTAAAGGAAAATAATATGTAGATATTTTGAAATTATAATACTTAATTCCCTTTTGTGTGTGCATGTGTATATGTGTATATGTGAATCGTATTGAAATTTAGAGTTAGGGAAAGTTACTGTGTCAGAAGATTCCTCACATGCACTCTATTTACACCCATTTCACGATGCAAGAATCTGAAATTTGTCTCCTCCTTCGCTGGTTTCCCAGCCAGTGGTAATCACATTGTCAGGTTCCTCGGAAACTTCGAGTGGATAAGCAGAGTCCACACTTAGCCTGCGGTCTCATCAGCAACCGCACCCTTGCCCGGGGCTATAGGGAGCTCTTCTTGTCTCCAATCTGAACCCAACCTGAAATTCATCCTCCTAAAGAGTAATTTTCATCATATCTCAGTCTTTAACCAGGGAAATGGGAGTTCTTTGCTGTCTTCAGATGAAAGCCCAGATTCTCAACGGACCCTTCAGGGTTGGCCCTGACCCAGCTCCGAGTATCCCTGTGACTCTTCCATTGGTTTCCTGCCGCTGTTGTAACAAATTGCCACCGACTCACTGGTTTGACACAAGATGCGTTTACTCCTGTACAGCTCTGCTGGTCCAAAGCCTCACTGCGCTGAAATCAGGGCATTGGGGGCGGAGTTGTGCTTCTTTGGAAGGCTGCAGGGAGAAGCCGTTTCCAGCTTCTGGGGGCTCCATCCGCCTTCTTCCAAGCCTGCAGGGGCACGTGGTCAGCTCTTTCCCTCTTACTCCTCCTCTTCATCCCATTTTTTTCTCTGATTCTGACTCTATTGCCTGCCGCGGATAAGGGCCCTTCTCGTCACCATGGGCCCCACTGAGTAACCCAGGACTATCTCCCCACCCCGGGATCCTTAATCTAATCAAGGATGGCAGGTCTGTCTCGCTGGATAAAGTAACAGTTACAGGCTTCTGGGATGGGGACGGGGCATCTCTGGGAGACCACGGTTCTGCATCTTAAAACCCTAGAACATAAACTTCCCATCATAGCAGTCGTAGTTTGTTTTTGTGCCTGTAATCCTCTTGCTCATTTTGCTACTGTGGATTTGATCTTGTTGCTTGTTTATTTATTGATTTTAGAGATAGAAAGGGAGGGAGAGAGAGAGGCTGGGGGGGAGAAAAACATCAATTTGTTGTTGCACTCATTTTATGTGTTCATTGGTTGATTCTTGGGTGTGTGCCCTGACCAGGGATCGAACTCTCAACGTTGGCATATCTGGACAATGCTCTAACCGAGCAGCTGGTTTTATGCATCTGGAAGACGCCACCCTTCCCTCCTACCACCCACTGCAATCTAAACAATTCTCTCCAACCTCGCAAACTGGGTTTTCATCACAAGAAACCACCGCCATCCCAATAAATTTCCATTAGGTTTAGCGTGTTTCAATATTTAAAAGTGATTCATTAGGAAGGATACCCTCCCTTACGTCCAAATAAAGTCATCATTGTTATTTTGTGTCTGTCAAAGTCCCAGAAAAAAAATCTAGTGGCACTTACAAAGGATTTAACTGAGGAAAGTTGAATAAGTGGATTTTTTACTGAGGGCCTGACACCGGGGAGGGAGCCCCTAAGGCCAAACAACAGGAAGAAAAGCCATTACTGGCCGAAGGAGGGCGCCCTGCCAGCCTGACCTAGAACTCTGGCTGTGGGAGGGGGTCCTTAGGACACGAACTGTGTGCCCTGGAGACTAGGAATGCAGCGAGTGTTCAAACTGAAGCCCAGCAGGGAGAGAGCAGGGGGAAGAAATACTCCTCTTCCTCCTGTTCTCCAGTGTTGTCCCCAGCCCACCCACTGGTCACGCCCAGATGGCAGAACTCAGCCCCCAGGGCGGGAAAGGTCAAACTTACAGCAGAGAAAAAGTAGCACGGTAATGAAAGGCGGTATTATTCATTGACCACCTGTTGTTATGTGTGAGACCCTGTGCCCAGAGCGTCGCATGTGTGATTTCACTTCAATCATAGAAAAAGGGAAAATTTTGGAGCGATTATCCATATTGCTGAGATAATGAAACCACAGAGGTTAAATCGATTTATCCCGAGTCCCACAACTCGTAAAGGGCACCTCCTGGGCTCCACTCAGATCTCTGACCTCAGATCCCACGCTCTGGAGTCACGGCCACGGAGGCTGTCCGAACGTGAGCCCCTCTCCCTCCTGCGGGTGACTCTGCCCCTTCCCTGACTTTAAGGCACACAGTGAAATCAGAGGACGTCCTGCCTACACTAAGTATAACTCAAGCGAGAGCACTTTCTCTGGTTGTTCAGGACACAAACGTAGACAGCCCCTAATTACATCACGGGTCTCTCCTTCCCGGAAACATTTTAGTTAGCCTAGAAGTAAGGGTCTTCTCTCTGGGCTTTCTGCACAGGCAAGGTTCCCTACTCAAAACACAGGCCAGCCAGCGAGGCAGTAGCTGGGTATGGACGGGACTCAGCCCCTTACCGGTAACAAACACGCGGCCTCCAGTGGCGCACTGCGGTCGGTCAGGAATTGCCCTCCAGGCATTAAACTATCTGTGAAGACAGCAATAAACCCACAGGACTTTTGCGGGTTTGCTTGTTCAGTAAGTAGGCAGTGAGAGTACCCGAGACATACACGCACGCACCAGTCTGCCTGTTTTCCTTCCCCGGTGTTGTTTGGGTGCATGGATCTCTGGGGCCGGAGCTTCAAACGGTGGCTCTGACTTCTGCGGCCGGATGCTCCTCAGCTGGGTTTCTCCGCCTCCAACCCAACAAGCTTCCCGTTAGAATTTGAACTTGATGAATTGTCATACGTGCCTTGAAAGGTTTCATAAGATAAGGTAGCTCATGTTTAATATACAGATTGGGGCAAAAGCAGGTTTACAGTTGTGAGTTTGCAAAACCCAGTTTATTCTTGTATTATTAATTAGTCATTATTGTGTTATTTTTTCATACAGATAACGGTAAACCTACTTTGCCCCACCTTGTATATTCAGAAAATTAGGGATTGAAATGCTAGTTTTTACCTACACCGTTCTTCTGTTGTACGAAACACAAAACGAGACATTCCAGTTCGTGTTAAAACTTGAGAAGAAAGATACCTGGAAAGTTGCCACAACGCTGAAGTCAGCGTGCCCCGCACACTCCCAGTGCCCCGCAACTGGACAGTGGCGCTCGCTCTCAAAGCCAGTGCGGTGTGGTCACTGGGACTCCGGAGGCCACGCCCACCCTCCACACCCCGGGGCTGTCCTCAGCTGCTCTGTGGCGCCAGCTTCTCAGACCTCGCTGGCCTTTGCATAGGAGCTGCTCCCACGGCCCCAGATCCTCGAGTCCCCACATGCGTGTCATTTCCCAGAAACCCACTGGACTAAACTGGACCCCTGCCCCCGAGTCCTGAGGACCTCTGCTCCTGTAACA